TCATATCCTTATCGACAATAAATTGGAAACGTATAGATATTTTAACAAACGATAAAGAATTAATGTAACTAAATGGCAACAGATTTTAAGGAATAATACGATTTTTTTTTCATAGAAACAAATAATTAATATATTATAGTTTTATCAAAAATACATTTCGAGAATAAACACGTGAAAATAATTTTCGAATGAGATAGTGGATAATTAAACACGTAGAGATAAGTAATTATCAGAGAAGCTCATATCAGTCAATGAGATAGGAAACCGTTAACGTTGCACTTCGAGTGCACTTGCGGGATCTATCTTCGTCGGCCGAGTGATCTTCATCTCTTAGAATCGTGTCTCGTAGGAATAACCTATATAACGTGAGTAAGGAACGGTGCATAATAACTGATATTTAATATCATGGATACGTTGATCCTGTTTGTCATTCTACCCTCACGTTTACACTCGGCTGCAATCGTAACGTTATCTTTCAACGATAATTCTAGGATGGAATGTGAGTTTGCGTAATTGACAAATAGGTAGTTTAACTACAGATAATAGAAATTAAATGTTACACATCCCAAATGTTAGTTTGATATTTCATTCTAAAATATATAAATTTTACAAAGTCTAATAAGTTTCAAAGTTCCAAATAAATTCTAATTCAAGTGAAATTTGTGTCTAACATTCACTTTCCAACTCGCGTAGATTTTTTTGAATTTACAATGCATAAAAAAACCATAAAATATGGCGAATTTTGTTCCTCAGAGGTACTTTGAGAGGCTTGCTCGCTCGCGATACGAGGGCGACAAGGAAGACTGAAGGAAAAAAAAGAAAAAGAGAGAAAGAGAATGAATGAATATATATTAGGTAGGTTGCACGGCAATTCTAGTACGTCCGGATAAAGCGCCCAAGTTTGCCACTAGCTCGCTCTAGCCTAACCCTAACCGGCGAAAGAAGAAGGCGAAGAAGAAGAAGCGGGCTCACCTACCTGGCGGCTCCGCTACGCGTTGTAGGGAAAAGAAGGGCAGGCGGACAGGCAGTACGGGGCAAAAGAGAGAGGGATGAGGTAGGGTAGGATAGAAGGGAAGAACAGCGCGCACTAAGGAGACCTTGAAGGCTGCTGGCCGGGTGCCCAGGTCTAATGCTGACCCACTATAAAGGCACTTGCCATCTTGCTCGTACGTCAGGACCGCCGCCTAGCACCCTCTCCCTCGGGAGAGAGCGCCTGCTAACCTACTACTCTCCTGCCCGTACTCTCTCGCTTCGTTCACCGCATATACATACACCGGCTCGGCTCGACTACGAAACCCGCTTCCAGACCCCGGACCACAAGAGCGAACTTAGAGGCTCTCCGAAACGAGGGCCCGGCGCGTTCCATCTCTCTCCCACCCTCTCGGCCCTTCCTCGTTCCTTCTTTCACTCATCGTCTCATACTTCGTGATCCCTTGCGCTCGTCGCTGCCTTCACGATCTCGTTTTCACTCCCTCTTTTTACGTCCCCCCCCCCATCCCTTCTTCTCCTCCCTGTACAATCCTCCTCCTTGCTTCACTCCCCCATCGGCCCTTTCTCCCGAATACCCCGTCTCGTCCTCTTTCTTCGTCACCTACCACGTTGTAACTCCGTCCCTTTCTGTGTTAGTTGTTTCTTCTTGTTTCCTCTCTCTTATTCTCTCTCTCTCTCTCTCTCTCTCTCTCTTCTCTCTCTTCCTCTCTCTCTCTCTCTCTCTCTCTCTTCAACGCCGTTGCTCTCTTTCTTCATCTCTCTTTTCCTCGCTTTCTCTCCCTTTTCTGTCGCTCTCTTTCATCTAAACTCTAACACAACACGCGTATCGAGAAAGGAAAGAAAGAGAGAGAAGGAAAGAGGGTGTGCGCGTTTTGGAGGGAGTAGTACCATCTAGCATAGCAACTGCTGTTTCTGCATTTCTTCGCAGCGCGCCCCCTTCCCCCCATGCGAGATGCCGGTATATTTTAAGCGTATAACGGGTGTCCCATCGCCGAAACGAAGCGCCGGAGCTTTCCCGGAAGTTCGCGAACGGTCGCGAACCAGTTCGAATATGATCTCACGATGGTCCTTATTACCTATCGTCGAAAAAAGCTCTCGTATATATTTATTACATCCCGACTTAATTTATTTAAATTTGTACATATATACAGGCTAAGAAGTATAATAATCTTCAGTAAAATTTTCAATGTATCATATGAATGTATTGGAGGAATATTTTTTGTATTTGAAGATTACAAAGTTTGCACAAGTCGTAGAGGTTGAAAAATTGAGCTGAACAATGAGCCAAAAAAAAATTAATGATGTTTTGAGAAAATGATAAAAAGCTTTGTACAATTTGTATAAAAAACTTATCAATAACAACTGCATATATTTTTTTTAATTTTTTTTTGTCATTTGTAACGTTAACTGTAATGTTTTTGTAATTTTTGTTGTTTGGTAGGAAATACTTGATATTTCACACGTACAATAAATTTAATATAACAATAGAAAACTCTATCACTCGAGATAGATACGATTATGAATTTTTCGTAAACTTTTCGGTTGAGTCGCTCAATTGCACAACTCGTATGTATACAAATACATTGTCACGTTATACATTGTCGCGTCCTATCAAACAGCACTGAAGATTTCTTCCCTGTTCCATTTTAGTATCTATCTATTAGTACCATTGTTACCGCTGTTGTACCTGTATGGCTGTCGGTCGCGTTTTATTGTACCAAGGCGCACTCTCAAGCCCCACTTTGGCGAGTGTAATGGCAAAGTTAACCCCGCTGGTGCAATCTCGTCCCATCTTTACGGCACGTGAAATCGGGCGTAAAATGCTCGGCGTATTTAACGCGGCATAAGAATCGAATTAAAGCCTCGTCAGGACGTACCCCGGGCTCCGTACCTCTCTCATTCTCTCGCCATCGAATTGGCTTTCGCATGAAACCTGTTGGCTACGCGGTCGAGCACACTCGTCTATATAGGTACACTTACGAATATTATTACTGACGGGGCAGAGCTCGCGAGGGGAGAGACCTGACACGAGACATACTAAGTAGCCATTTAGATGGCCGCTCCTTTCCTCTTGTCCATCTATCGCTCTCTTTATCCCATTCTCGACCGAATGACTGGAAGGAGAGAGAGAGAGAGAGAGACACGCGAGTGTGCCATTTTTCTGCTCTGCCTCTCGCGCATTCTCCTTATTTCGTTTCATATTCGTATACTTCTAATTCATTCGAAGCTGGCTCGTCCAGCCATCACATATGTATACCCCCCCTCCCCCCCTCCTCATTGTATCGGGCGCAGAGCGTCTAATAGAATCTACGCGAACGAGTTCGCCACTTGACCCACGCCGTGGTACCACGGAGAAAATCTAGTCTCGAAAAACTCGGTTTGGACACGGCACGCTTAGAATCGAGGTGGGCGTGTCCATTTATTTGCGCAAACCGCGCGAATTTATTCGCTCGATTGGAAAATAATATCGCAATAACATGTATACAAAAATCTTGGATATTTATAATTTTAACGATTTTAACGATTAAAAAAAAGAACTTATAGTATAATAGTTAACAAGATAGTTATTCAACGTAGGTGACGGATGATAACCGGAATGCCGAGGGTGGCAAACGAGGCGATAGTTTGATACTGACAGGCGCTCGATTAAAATTTAAGTAGGCACAAATCATAAAACGGCACGACACTCGAACTTCAACGGATTCGCTTAACGAGCGCTGCGTCGAATGGCCATTCGGCGCGAGAATGATTCGCGAATCTATTCTTCTCGCGATTCGCGCGGCGAGGAACCGGTCATGGGAAATTAGATGGGCTTGACCGGTAAACGACACCTGGCGCGTAGGAAACGAAAGGAAATACTTGTGTGTGCCGCATATACACGCTGCTCTATAATCTGCCTTCTCTTTCTCTCGTCCTCTCTCTCTCTCTCTCTCTCTCTCCTCCCTCTCCTCGCTATCTCTCCCTTTCTCCTTCTTTGTCGCGGGCTACGAAATGACCGGCAGTTCACATAACCTTTTGATCCTGATTAGAATATGAGTGAGGTGTAGCTGTGGTGATAGCTTTCGGTCGGGTTAATGCTGGCCGCGATTTTTGCATCGTTACCGCACACCGGAACCCGGAAGCGATCGCGCGCTCGAACCGGTGCGGTGTCCGGCCGCTATGTTTTTCCATGGGAAAAGTCTCCCATCTCTCCCCGGTTTCACTCCCGGGGTCAGAGGTCGAGGCTCAAACAGGTTGTATGCTGACCCATTGATCCAATTCTGCCGTTCGACTTGAGATGCATGAGAAAATCTCGACGAAAATATCTACTTGTAATCTCATCAAATTTTATGCGGTGGCAGTTGAAGAATTGAGATTTAATTAAAAACAGGATACTACTATAACAAGAGTGTGTCGTGACAGCTCGTATGATGTAACGCTTGATGCTTGATGATATAACGAAGCTATGCATAATATTGAAGCTCAAATTAAAACGTTTTTATATCATAGTAAGCTTATCGAACATTTTTTCCGGGTGTCTTAGAAGTGATAAATAAATAATATAAAGTAAATTATTCTGATCTTTCGAATATTTTTATTATAATAATATTATCAATGTTATTAATAACATACATATAATATTCATATAAAACTAATATAAATAAAATATACGTGTAATATATATCAATAACAATGTTAATAAGTAAGACAAAAACATTGATTTGGAAAAATTAAAGCATTTAACTTCTGTACTTTGTTAAAAAGAAAAATAATAGAAAATACAGATGTATAATATTAATATTCGTTAGATAGCTACATTATTTGACAATGAAATAACCGTTAACTTTCGTCCGTTCGGCTTCTAGTATGTGAATAGATGAAAAGACACCCTTTACAATAACAAGGTCTGGACTACGAGATTGGTAATCGCTCTATTTACTGGCCGCGCCGTTGTGTTGTTACGTGTCCATGAATTTCGTACGTCTCTTTAAAGACACACCTAAAAACCAGCTCCTTCGTTTTCGTTACAGGATATACCTATCTCGGATCCTCGCTCGTTGTAGAGCCGTCTGTCGCCAGCGCAGCAAAGAAACGGTAAGTTATGAAGATTTCGCCATTAACAGTATAATGAGTATTTTTGCTAAATGGCTTTTAGATACGCTGAGAGAGAAAGAGAGAGAGAGAGAGAGAGAGAGAGAGAGAGAAGTATTTAATTATACAATTTATAAAACATAATCAAGTGCTAATTTTTAAATTCAAGATAATTCCGCAATTCCTATATATAGAAATTATTTATTCGAAAGAAAAAGAGATAAGCGTTGAATCAGCGTTATTTCTATTTTATTTGAAGACCACAGGGACAGATATCTTCTGTCGCGTTTCATTATAGCCCGACCAGTGGCGTGTGATAATGAAAGATTCTCATTGCGTGTGTCACACGCCGACTAAACGCGCGGCCGTTTAGAGACACGCGGTAAAATACCACCGATCTCGTGTCGTGCTTACGTTACGGATCCTCGGCTCGGGTAGAATTAATAAAATCGCTAAGCACCGCTGTCGCTGCACCGCTTCTTAACTGATCGCCGTAAATTCGCGACAATGCAGGAAGCGGCGCGGACCGGCCCATCGCGATTTTTCATTTATTAAAGCCGACATCGGAGATTATCGGAATTATTCGGCCATTATTTTTAGCGACTACCGGTCATTCTCGTTAATATACATGTACCGATCGCGCATCTCCTCTCCGTATATTTTCGTATGTTTAATCTCTCGCTCTCTTCCCCCTCCTCCTCCTCTCTCTCTCTCTCTCTCTCTCTCTCTCTCTCTCTCTCTCTCTCTCTTCTCCTTCACCCTCGCTCTCCCTCTTCTTCGTTCTCCCTCTCTTTCGTTCTACACCGCGCTCGCAACACGCGCGGAACTTCAAAAGGTTCGTTAACCCGTGCCCGGTTGCACGCAGGCGATCGCAAGAGAGATCGAGCTGTGCGTAATACCGCGCGTAACAAGGTGCGTAATTGGCCGCACGCGAGTAAATGCGCGCGTGCGCCCATGCACAAGAGTTCAAACTCGTGCTCGAACGTGCCCGAGCAAAAATCGTCGGGGATTAAATCGCATCGCCGCGCGATGGGACCTATTCTCGTCGCGCTTGTTGCCCAAAATCGCTCGTTGCCAAATGTCATTCGGGGGAGTACTTGTGCCCTAACTGTCCTTTAACTAGAATCTCGTCAAAGCTAATTAGCAACGGAAAGCCTTATCCCGTCTGTCGTGCGAAATTAAAATAACACGTGTTTCATTAAAGCTTTTATCTTTCTCTTTTATTTCATGGAAAATTATTGTCAAAATTATTGACAGTAGTTAAAAGAAGGAATGAGTTATTAAATGAAAATTCTAAAAGATGTATCTGCGCGCTAATGCTAAGGAATTTAATCCTGTAGAATCTTGTGAAATTTTTTTGTATAACATAAGAAGATAACATTAGTTCTAGAGACTTTTTTATTAAAATTTGTTTGAAAATATGTATGTTACATACGCGAATGTTAAAAAATATTTTTCGTTACTAATCTCGAAAAACTTTTCTGAAAGATTATACTCTCAAACGCGATTAATTTTTTACTTTAAATCTATGAGTGTCATCATGACAACTTGCATGTGGACAAGACATTAAATTGCTGCTTGCCATTAATCATTGAGGCATATCAGAGATATGCAATTCGAGTTAAACATATATGAATATCATTTCGAGTAGGGAGGGCAGATGCAGTTTGATGCTGTGAGCGTACTGTTGCCAGTATTTTGCGATGGTCTGCGAAAATTTTGTCGTCCCGAAAAAGAGAGGATCCAAAAGTATATTTTATCCAACATAGAATGTTTCAATTGCACTAGCGCCGTAGCGTATTGTTTTAGATCGTAGATAGCGTTGTGTGTCGTGTTATCGTATGGAATGTATCTAGAACGCTATTTACACTCTCCATTCTGTTCTCTTCACATGCTCACGTTTACACGGATCGATGGTACGTATCTATATTATAAATAGCAGCAGTGGCTTCACATACGTCGCCGATAACGAAGCGCCAAGAGTCGCGATAGCATCATCAATCCGATATCATAAAGTAGTCGGCACTTTCGACTGTCATAAATTGCGAATTTTCATAATTCGCGTTGCAGATCGTTTGCTTGACAGGCCAATATAGTAACGGTAATCAAACGAATGCGCATAATCTATCACGAAATATCTCGTATATGTAATAACATAAGCTGAATCATTATTAATGATAAGTGATATAATAAATCTTTCATAATATATAAATTTGCATTATCATACTAAATTCACATTTTAAGATCTCTTTGATATAAGGCTGTAGCGATAAATATCTAAAATGGACATTATTCTAAGCGCTATATAACATGATGTTCTTAATTGTTAGGGCAATATCTTCCATTTGTATCGTTACTCATTTGTATCGATATTCTTAAATATTAAAACAAGATATCGAAGCAATCGAATATGAATGAATATTCTTCTTCTATTTAAACACTCTCTTCTTTTCCTATCTGCTTATATATCTGCTTATATATGCATATGTAATGATGTATAATATCAAGTTTCTCGACAATTTTCGGCTGCAGTCACGTAGAAGCAACTCACTGCAAAAAAAAAAATGCAGGTCTTTCTTTTCTCAGTAAACAATGATTCGGTGCCGGAAGGATTAACCTAAATACTCGTCGCGACGCGTTTTTGCGAGGCGCAGTTTGGAAGCCTCTACACAACGACGCCGCAGAGGCAGCCTCTTTCCCGACGATGAGGCAAGCAATTTGAAAAAAAAATGTAGCACCTGCCACTTCTGCTCGCGAGCTACGAGAGCCGAGAGAGCCCAGGCTGCGAGCTCGCTCGCTCGCTCGCTCGCTCGTGCCACAACTGCAATCTGTTATTTCACCATCCCCCGAACTCGCGCGCGCTCACTTTCCGCTTCTCGCTCCATCCTCTCATCCCTCACGCACCGATTACCGGCCGCCACCTCCTCCTTCTCTTTCTTCACAGCGTGAGCAGCTTGGAGCAGCCTTATCGATGCCTCGGGGACGTGCCATTGCATAAACGAGGATTTGTCGCTCGGCCAAATCAATACTCGGCGCAAGATAACGCCATCCAAAAAAAAAAAAAATGATGAATTATTTTGTCGAATGAATACGTCAAATAATGCAGTTTTTTTTTATATGTTTATTAAATACACACTGACGAATTTTAAAAAATGCATTTTTGTCTCCCATTTTTTTCATATTTTTTTTTTTTTTTTTAGCTAAAGAAAATTAATAAAAGTATATTTTACTTTGTTGTGACTTTAAAGATGCTTTGGTAATCAAATAAATTGAGAAAACTACAATTGTTGTAAAATTAAGCTTTGACGTGACATCTTTGTAAATCTTTAGGAAAGAAAAACATCCGATATTTTCGAAAATTTGAAACTCGATTATACTTCGAAACGCGACGGCGTCTTCTTCTTCGTATACCCGTTTCGAATGATTCTTCCGAATAATGATTATAGACGTATAAACGAGTGTAAATTAAATTCTAGCATTGCCATTGTGTGCGTAATACTGGGCGAATTTCAATATGAAAAGCACAGATAACACAACGATCTTCGCACGTAACAACGATCGTTTCGCGATCGTTATTACCAGCGCGCCGTGGGAGATCGTTATTCAAGGATGGAACGAGCGGATGCCCGGCGCGTGAAGGAAGAGCACAAGTTTATTATACACTCTATAGAAAGGGACGGAGATAGGGAAACGAGTATCACTTCCGAGTTGTCTTTTGCAATAGGTCAAAGACGCGGCTTCCAGCGGCGAGCGAGCTCGCCGTTTTTTGATGTTTAGGAACCGATGCATGGCTAAACATTCATTTCCATATAAGCCGATATGTTTCAAATGTAAAGCGATGTGTCCGCGCACACCGGAGAGGTGGAGAAAGAAAGAAGGAGGTAGATGAACCGAGGGACCGAGGGAGGGTCAGAGGGGGTGAAAAGAAGAGAGGAGGAAGACTGCGGTGGAAGAACGGCGAACTGGTACGAGCGGAAACTAGTTTAAGCCCGCGGGTTGTCTTCTCAACCCTCAGCCGAGCCCTCGACAATGCCCTCCATGGGATCCACCGTGCTCCCGATTTCGTCCACTTTAACTGGCTCTGCCCCGCTGTCAGCTCTCTCTCTCTCTCTTTTTCTCTCTCTTTCTTTCTCTCTTTCTCTTTCTCTCATTCTTTCCTTTACGCCTGTAAGTAGCCCCCGCGAGTGTGAGAACCGACCGGAAAATGTTTAACCCTGTAGCATGAGCGTGCGTAAGCCGCGAGACACGTCTCAGGTTTGTTTTCAATCTCTTTGCGCGTGAATTTAATTTGAAAGCGACTGGAAGAATTAAAATTATTTATTTGTATAAATAAATAACTTGCATTAAACAGTTTTGAAATTATAATAAGTCGTAATAAGAAATGATTTGTCGCAGCAAAGATGCAAAGAATCGTGTTTATTTCAAGAATATTTTAATTTTTTGGATATACATTTATTCATATATCAAACACGAGAAGTCGAATTGTCGTATTTTTGTTTTTTCGTTTTTTTTAGTTTTAAAATGTCAAAGTTAAATATATTTACAAAACTATTATATTACGATGTGATATTGATGAAAACTCATGATTTGTTTTTATGTCGTCCTTAATAAAATTGGATAAAATCTTTCGCTAGGTATACCTTTTCGTAATAGTTATATTATTCAAAATATATTATTTAAAATTATACGATTTATTTGAAAATTTCTTTCAATTAATTGTGTCGTCTATGACGTAAGCAGCGGTATACCGAACGCACGTTTCCTTTCCTTTGAGTCTTAAGGAGCCACAATATTCGCGTGTCCACTCAAGAGAGTCCTCAGAAATTGTTCGCCGGACACGCTTGCGACCTGTTGACACGTATACATTATTGTTGACAACCGCACGTTACGATTCTCCAGCTTGACGCGTGGAATCGTTCGCGGGTATCATTTGCCGCATATGCCAGACGAAAGCGCGACCGCAAAACTCGCCCTCATGCACCGGCCGCGAGAAAGCACGTTCCACTTTGCGGTGCATCTGTGCACAATGCAAGCACGTGCAATGTGCATTATTCTGTCCTTGCGTGCGATATTCATTCACCGCACTAGAGACCAGAGCCAGAATTGCGTACAAGCGGTCGACAGTTTGAAAACATGTAACGAAACTATTAGCCAACCCTGAACGGACTTTCTATCGCTTTCCAATTATCCCTCGCTTCTTCGAATTGGACTAATTTTATCATCCCTTCTTCTCTAATTCTTATAAAAAAATAGATTATACTCTCGTAAGATGGAATCATTATAAATGAAAACAGTAGTTGTACATCTAGTTTTCTTGTTTGGAGTAATTGTCGTACAAAAAAATATTATTTATATAAAAAATAAAAATAAGATATTCGAAGTTATCTCCAATTAATTTTTCATTGATCTTTAATCGCTACATGTGCCATTTTCATTGTAATTTTTAAATATATTTTCAAATTTCTAAATTAAAATTTCGAGAATAATAATGCGCCATTTTTGTTGCGCACAGAATCGATTAATAATGAAATTGATAAAAAGTGAAATTTGATTTACAATGGCATTTTTTTGTGACATATCTTTACGTATAAATTAAATTCCATCTGTGTCGATGACTTCTCTCATCTCAGATGACATTTACTCTTCAGGACATTGTATCTGGCACTCTTAAAGTATGTACCGGTCGTCAGTGTGATGGCCAAAAAGCACGTGTACGCCGCCTGCATTTCCGCATAACATTGCGCGCGCGCACGACTGCACTTTTCTCATTTACATGACAAGGCCGCTGCACCTCGCGGCGTATGAGGTCGACGCAGGTTGCACGATATGTATACATACACCAGGGGGGAGAAAAGGGGTAGCGGGCCCCCCTGCGGCCGGTGCAGTCCGGTAAGCAGCTCGAATGCACTTTGCACGATGCACCCCGGGCACTCGAGGCAATGCACGTCGTTCGAGTCGGGCGACTCTCCACCTCTCTCCATAAATTCGACCGCGGACACGTTCGCGAAATAAAAAGGCATCGAGGACGGGACGGAGAGGGAGGCACGTCGTCCCGAGGCGCATCTCTCGCCCTCTTTACGGTGCATCTCGATCGATTTCTCTTCTTCTTTTCATCCTTCCACCCTTTTTCCATTTCTCTCTCTCTCCCTCTCTCTCTC